AATAATTATACTATAAAAATTCTAAAAGTATAAACCAAAGACTATAACGTGTTTTTTTTTAAATGTATAAAGGGTTTGAGGAGTAATGAGGGAGGGAGTATGAAGAGTAGTTGCAAAAGATCCCCTTAGTTTTGATTTAGATCGCGATGTGTAATATGTCCCAGCATGTTAAATATTACGTATTCCGTGTGGTGACGGATAACGGAGTGTCACCACCCCTATTCATCCCGTGGGTGTCGTAAGAACGGACTAAGGGAGCAAGCTACGCAGGACAACATCATTGCAAAGAGAAAACTTGACACAAACCCTATACCAACCCGTCTGGCCAGCGTGGTATAGTAGACCAAAACCTCCTTTCGAAGGAGAGGCATATATCCAGCAGTGGACTATTAAAGGCAGTTGATGATGATGGTGCTAATATTATTTAAATTGTCTAGTGCTTTATAGAACTTTTTATACATATTTGTAGGTCCGAAAATGATACAAGGCAGAAAAGCAACATTATTTATTTATTTATGTATATTAAACACAGGTGTTAATTAGCTGTTGGTCCTCGTTGTTAATTCACAGAAGTAATTATTTCTGATGTAATTATTAAAGTAGAAAAAAAACAGGAAGTTACATAAAAACACAATCAGACTTCTAATTTCCAGAGCTTTGTCATTTTTTTGAATAGCTATCATTCAATGCGCTTGTGCTCATCCGAACACATAAAATAATTCAGAAGCATCCGCTTCTGAATTATTTTAAGCTAAGTTAAATTATTATTATTTTTTGTTAGAAACTCATTAAAATTTTGTCACTTCCTAAATCCTGTTTACAAATATAGTGTGTGGCGACTCACACACACGATCAAACAAAGAAACATACTACAGCGCCATCTAACGAAGACATACCGAACTAAGAAGTAACTCCTGAATGAGAATTGCTAATCCTGTATCGCGATATGAAGAATTCTCTCCCGAATAGCATATATACTTCCCAACATCAACCGTTGGGCCGCGGCCCACCAGGCATGATCACCTCGCCTGGTCGGAGGATCCTCCCTTTGTGTTGGAGGGACATGACACCCGTTCCTCCACAAGTGAATTAAACCATTAACATATTGATTCATTATCGATGTAGTTTTAGATTTTGTACTTGGAAACGGCGCTTCGGCGTTGGGTACAATATTATCATAAATTAATTAAAGGGGTGTTTATAATTGTATGAAGTCGTGTACTGCATCAAAATCACAAAATTTGGAATGATTGTGCGTCGAAGATCTGACAGTTGACATGACCTGTCGTTTGATTTAAAATCAATAGTAAAAAACGCAGTCAACATCGATGAATGCCATTACAATAGATTTAGATAAAATTTCATATTAAATCTACTACATTATTTTTTTATCTGTACTTTTGTACAATAAAAATATCTGAACTATTTATATTCACGATGAAGACATGATTTATGAATCATGAATATCAGGAACGGAACGTCATGTAATGCCATAATATTATTATGTATTGTATACATTTATCAAAGAAATAAATGAATGGACAAAGTAAAGGTACATTATAACGCAGCAATGATATTGGATGCCTACGCATTGTTTCTTATGTTTAATTATATCAAACTACAGATTACATGACAAATAAACAAATTATTAAAGAGGTTTGTTTATACATACAAAAGAACATAATACAAAACAGACGTACTCTATTTACAAATAAAAGTACAACAAGTGCATAATGTACAATTTGACAGAATATATAAAATAGGAAATGCGGAAATATTATGCAATGAAGCTTAGCATAACTAAGCATAGCTTACCCAGAGAAACTAGCATAGTTAATTAAGGAACCCATTGCAATTTTAATGACTGGTAGTGTAACCTTTTAATTACATAGCACCGAATAGGTAAAATAAGGGTACGTTCACTTAGCGCAACCCTTTCTTTCTATAACAGAGACAACTTGCTTTAAAATAGACAACTTTCTTTAAAAAGACAACTCCCGCATTAGGAATATATCCTGTGTCGCGGGGGACGATACAAACATACATAAAACGGACACAAAGAACACCTAGGCTCAGAACAAAAATTTGTGGATCACACAAATTGTCGTCCCATGTGGAGATCGGACCCACAACACTCAGCGTAGTACTAAGCGGCGTGGTGGCCGTTTGAACCACTACACTATAGGATTTTCTTGAACACGCCAACCCTTATTTGCATCTATTATTTAAATCAAATGAAAATGGTAATACATAAAGAGATTTTTAACCGACTTCAAAAAAAGGAGGAGGTTCTCAATTCGACTGTATTTTTTTTTTTTTTTTTATGTTTGTTAGCTCAGAACTTTTGACTAGGTGAACCGATTTTGATGGTTCTTTTTTTATTTGAAAGCTGGTGCTTCCCGTGTGGTCCCATTTTAATTTGGTTTAGTTCTGATAATGGCATCTATGAGAAAACCATATAAGTCTTAAATTTGCATTTAGTATGTTCGCGACAAATAGACGAATAACTCAATTTCACGCAAACCGATTTCGATAATTCTTTTTTTATTGGAATGGATGTACTTTAAGGGTACTTTGATGAGAGTTTGGTTAGATTCTGATGATGGGATCCACGACAAAGTAACGGAACTCTTCAATTCTTAGGAGCAAATTAACGATACTCGGCTGAATCTTTTATGGGCTATCTGGATATTTGAGTCACCTACAGTAACGTCGTTATGGTCAAGTAATTGTCGTCATCAACAGCCTTTATTAAGCTACTGCTGGACATAGGCCTCTCCTTAGAAAAGAGGTTTTGGCCTACTATACCACGCTGGCCAGACGCGTTGGTATAGGGTTTATTTCAAGTTTTCCTTCTCTTTGCAGTGCTGTTGTCCTGCGTAGTTTGCTCCCTCACTAGATTCTTACGACACCCATGTGATTAAAAGGGGTGGTGACATTCTGTATTCTTAATCCGTCATCACAGGGTAGATTGCCTCTGTTGAGATAGGCGTTTCTTCCTGACTCCCTTTGTCTCATTCAAACGGCGCTGTCTCATTTGAGCAGCACGTTTATTAGGTCTACCCATATTCAGACAAATTAGTAAGTGTACTTCAGATTCACTAAAAAGCAAAAAATAAACAAAAAATTTTAACAAAAAAAAACCGACTTCAAAAAACACTATTCCAAAACAAATTAATATGCACTAAAAAGGAAAAAAATAAATGCATATTGTTCTACAACTTAATAATCAACTTACTTTTTCTACTCATCTATATGTAGGTACGATCTATGTGTTAACCGCGCAAGAAGGAAGGTAGGTACCTACCCATTTCAAATCTAATTTAACATATACCTGTGAATAACAAACAACGATCAAAATATTTATTTGAGTTCTCCTAAGTAAAATAAAATGAATATAATGTAGTTACAATTATTATTTTTGGAGTCGGTGTCAGCCAAGGAAACACTACGATATACCTAGCAATAATAATACGAGAATACTTTAAGACTCGTCAACTCGCGCGTGCGACACAAGCACTTCTCACTTATAAGGTGTAGGTGACACCGACTTGGCTGACACCGACTGCAAAAATAACAATAATTGTAACTACATTATATTCATTTTATTTGTACACATTTGTGAGAAAATTTCGTTAACGGATGAGCTTGAAATTTGTAATATATAAAAATAAATATCGAAAACTGACAAAAAAACAAAAAATCTAAACAATAGGCAGAGTCTCGCAGGGAAAATTATGTGAAAACGGCTACATCAAGCAACACGCATCCAGTGTTACTTGTTACCTGGCCCTCAATTCTGCTATTTTAATATTTTATTAATAGACTGTCGATGGAATGTCGTCGCAATAGTTTTCCCCTTTTCTTATTCTCCTAATCAACTGACTTGTCCCTGAACTGCCATTGATACAAATGTCCTCGACGTCTTCGTAATAGTTTGGTAAATTGTACATTTTAAATTTGTAAGGAAATCAAATATTTAATTTTCCAGACATGGCAATGTTGTTGATATCACCATTGTCGAACATCGACAGTCTATTGAAGCTGTGAATTTATGTCAGTAAGATACCGATATTTTGACCGAAGTCAATGGCATCTCAATAGCGTGCCAATGGAATGACAGTGGGAATGACAATTGTACGTTAACGTCAAATAGCCGAATTTAGGCCCTGTTATGGCATGGAAAGCTTTAGCAATAGTTTAAGTTAAACTTCACAAATTAACTATGATCGTTCACCAGGTATTCCTAATGCGGGAGATGCCTTTAAAAAAAGATAGATAGACTTTTGTCGATTGAACTATCTGATAGAGATGAACTTTGTTTCTCTGCTCTGGAGCTATCGATCAGATTTGAATAATAATATTCTACCACATTCACAAAACGCCATCTAGTCCCAAACTAAGCAGAGCTTGTACTATGGGTGTACTAGACAACTAATATAAATACATATATACCTACTTTTTTTTTTGTAAATACATACATACATACTTATTATACATAGAAACACCCAGACCAAACCAAACATTAAATGTTCATGAACACAAATGTTTGACTTCAGCGGGTATCGAACCCGCGACCTTTGGAATAGCAGTCCGTTACACAAACCACTACGCCATCCGGTCGTCAAATGCTTTTTATATTTTTATAAGCCATGTTCATCACGACCTAATATGAGTTTTTGGAGACAAGGAACGACCATAAGCTCAAATGAAACGGCGGGGAATGGAAAAAAACCTAACTTATCCTGTATCGCACAGTTCTCGTACAGATAAGAAAATACGTAACCCAATAACACCATTGCCTATTCCTATCCTGGTCGAAGAATTCTGCCTCCGTTACAAAAAAATCCATTTCAAGAACTTGGAATATTAGATACGGTACTTAATAATAACAGACGCATACAAAAGTGCAGGCTACGGTCATAAGTTTTTTGGTAGTTAACTTTTGTAGCCAGTGTGATACGAGTAATCAGTAAGAAAACGCTTTTCTTTTGTTTTAGGTCATGGAGACGAAAAACATGATCTACATAGTGTCTGAATATGCAAGTAAAGGAGAGATTTTTGGTAAGTTTAAAGTTCCAACAGTATTTAGTAGCACTGAGAAACACTTTATTGAAACTCAATCATTATCAGACTAAAAAGATATTTAATTTTTTCATCGAAAATTCGTTAATACATTCGAATATCTTTCTAATACACTTGGTATTTATTTATGTTGTTTTCCCAACGGATACAACTTTGAATGCGGTACATTTCGAATGCAAAAAATGATTTTTTGTCATAGATCCTGAAGACTACTAAGTAAAGTTATTTATCTGCTCGTATTATTTCTCTAATGATAAAATCATGAATATTTCGTTATAGTTAAATTTAGTTTAAAAAAATATATGAACGTTAGTAAAACCTGTGTCCTTCTTTATTTACCTTACTATTTTACTTATCTTATCAGTCTTAGCTATCTCGTTATTTTTCAAACAATTGCAACCAAATTTGGCAAGTCTCCAAATACCTAAGTTATGTTTTCATTAAATCCGCTCAAGGTTTGCTTTATGTGAACGTGAGAATAGTGAATTTGTGTTTAGTCTATGCGAACACTTTTTCTTTTAAAGTCGGTTTGGTTAGAAATACTTTTTGAATTTTACTAACTATTTATTCTAGAACGATTTCTATTTTCACCGATTGATTGGTCGTGATATGTCAGGTTCACTCACTAGACAGTTTTAAGAAACGCAATAAATATAAATGAATTTCGTACATTTGGTAATAAGATTAAATTTTACTTACGCGAGTGATAACATTTTAAACAATTGGCAAACCAGTACCGACTTAAATATAATAATATATAATAATCACCATACCCACTACCGTTATAGCATTTTAATTTTTATTAAATTTGAGGCCGTACTTTTTGATATAATATTTCTTACATGGTTTAAGAATATTATTATGCGGATCTTTGTCAAATAAAGTATTGGTTGTACCTACCTATCGATAGCTTTTATTACTGTACTATTACCATAATTATTATTACTAGCATTGGTTAAATATAGTCGCAAATAATAAATAAAGCGTCTCTCGAATAACCACCATATCGATTAAGGGTATTCGTTTCGTGAGTTCGTGGCCGCTTTGTCTATGACGTAAGCAGGCTTCGTGTGACGTCATGAGCAGGGTGTCGTTGACGGCAATAGGGAGGTCGGGTGGGGTAGGGAAGCAATTTCTCGCACAGCTGACTACGTTCCACCAAAATCTAACTGATCTCGATTCTTTTGCATGAATATCATTAACTAATGAACTCATTAGACATTATGATTTATCGGTAAAGTTATTTGTTTTTTTTTATATATGACATTACGATTATGATCGGCTTAATAGGGGATTAGAAGTAAAGGTGCAATTTGTTATTAAAACTACATAAATATGGTTTACATTTATTTCGTAGATCACAGTACAAATGCATGTTGTAATATGACTTTCGTAGTACATAGGTATACCTGTTTGGAACACACGAAAAGCATGGTACAGAAAATACATAATAATATGTTCGTAACAGCTCTACAATCAGACATAATGTAGGCACATGTTGTTTGACATTCTACACCTGCGTCAGGTGTTTTCATTCCAAAGCGGATAAATTCTGTATTCCTGTTTCGTACACATATGCATATACAGGTTGTTATAAACACTCAAGGTTCAACATTGCGCGATAAACTCTGCCCCATTTTAATAATAAACTAAAGGCTTCCCCGTACTCTCTGGACCTACAAGAACGCGTGTTTGTGTGTCAAAGGAGTGAACCTTATCGTAATTACGTAAATAATTTTATATATACATGTATGTTGCTTTTAATATACTCTAGAGTAAAACGAACATCCGTATTCAAGAAATTACTCCATTATTGAATAGTGACCTTATTTATCTCGGCTCTGTGCATGAAATGAATATCAAATTCTAACCAGATTCCTTGAATACAAACTGTTCAGGAATATTTTCAAGTTTACTTATTTCCATTAAAGAACACAACTATGGAAATTATTTTTGAACTTCGTACTTAGGTGATCTATTGCTCACGTGACAATGCGGATCATAATATAAAAAAGATAAGTGCGCAATAACAATATATTATTATGTAAATTAAACAACTGTATCTGTATTGAATGTGCAAAGTGTACAAACGTCATTATTCAATACATTATCTTAAAAAACGACACATCTCAATATGTTTCTTACTTTCTCACTACTTATTAATTACTCAATAGGTAGTATTCTTTTTAATAACAATATACATATATGTACATAAATTTGGTTAGACTAAAAACAAAAGAGATTAATAAAAAAGTCGATAGTTAAGAAAGCGTTCGGCTCTAGCGATCGCGACACGCGACTACGACCCGCGATTGCGACTGCTTAGTATGAATTCATAATATATGGAGTACAAACGAATCCCGCGACCTCGTCACGCGACCGGATGGCGTCGCCAGATAGCGGCGTGGAGACCGCGACTAAGTCGCAGTCGCACCGGAGGTAGTGCAGTTACGCGATACAGGCGAGGAGCACATCAAAATGACGGCGTTTTCACCGAACGAGTGAATAAAAGCAACCCTCTTCTTCTCATGATTTCGTGAAAATTGAGTCAATCTTCATATAGTATCATCATCCAATAGCTGCCGAGTAACTTTTTTCCTAGCTACCTCTCATTGGGGCTCGTTATTATACCCGTGGTCCAAAACGAGAGCGCGTGGGAGTCTACCGCTACGATTTACGAGGAAGTGATGTATCTTAAGAGACGACGGAAAAAAGGCGAGATACTAATACTTTAACATCTGTAGTGGTTTTAGTCATTTTTCTGTAAACACTAGACTAATTTACTACAATTATATGCCATCACAAATGTAATTAAGGTCCGTGTGGTGATGGATTAAGAATACAGAGTTTAACCACCTATTTATCCCGTGGGTGTTGTAAGAGCCGACTAAAGGAACAAACTACGCAGGACAACAGCATTGCAAAGAGAAGGAAACCTTGAAACAAACCCTATACCAACCCTTCTGGCTAGCGTGGTATAGTAGGCTAAAACCTCGATGATGATGAGGATATGCTATTAAGTGTAGGCAGTTGCCTACTAGTCGACTAGTTAGTCGATTAGTTATGAAACGTGTATTTAGGTTTTGTTTTTCTACATTCAATCATCGATATAAATGATAACTGTTATTTGTTTTTGCAGATTATATAGCCCGGTATGGTCGCATGGCTGAGCAAGCAGCCCGTCGCAAGTTTTGGCAAATCCTCTCCGCCGTGGAGTACTGCCACGAGAGGCGTATCGTTCATAGAGATCTCAAGGTAATATTGTCGGTTATTATATTCTTATTTTTTATAGGATCATTATCATGTTTTTATATATTATGTATGCGATTAGTATAAAACAAAGTAAGATATCGTCAGCGTTATTGTTGGTCCCACAAGTCTGGCAGTGTCATAGATTGTCATAAAAGTGACAAATAGGCAAATATTGTTGTTTCTTCACAGAGTCAAGCCTCTAAGAGATATAAATATTTTTCCATTACTATTAATTATTAAACTATTTTTTTCTAACCCAAGAAGAATATGACATGTGTATGATTTTGGTATGATCAATTTTTTTTTTCAAATGAAATCAACTTCTCACTTCTTGTAAGGCCCTTACAGCAAAAAATACAAAATGGTGTGTTTTTGTTTGTTGAGCTAAACGGACTATTGCCTGATAAAGTTTCGTTCATAAAGAAAAAAAAAACAATACAAACTTTGGTTTAGACCATAGACAGTTAAAACAGTTCCGTAAAACTTTTTTTCATAAATTTATTGCAGTGGTTTTTATATAACATATTCCTTTCCTTGCAGAACATTTTGATACACCTCTTAAATTCTATCATCTGAATATGTGTCCTATCCTATAAAAATGTATCAATTAGGAAGCCTATTACAATCCACTACGGGTTATATGTATTATATAAACCGCTTCTAAGACAATACAGGTTCTTGTGGCTAATTTACATTCTAGGTTGTTTTTTGGGGGGTTGCTATCTTCGAGTATACTGGCATCTTCTATAATTAACCTATTTGTAATGTAACAACTTGCAGTTGCTCTATTCACCATCGTTTGACCATAGACCAGGAGAGAATGTGTTTTGACGAGAGAAATTCATTAAATAAAGACATACTACGAGTATACCGATTTTTAAATTTTATTAATCGTTTATACTCATTATAACTAGTAGAAGATGACAACCACGATCATCTCATATTTCAGTACGAGGCGTCGTACAAATTTCTCTGCCTCGAATAAGATTTTATATAATACCAACTGGTTTGTTCGCGTGGAATTTTAAAAGCGCTGCCATAGTGGGTTCGATTCCCGGAACGAGCAAACAGGGTTTTTCTAAGAGGAAAAATTGCCTAAGTTACTCCTTATATAGACAGCTATCTGGTAGTAAAATATTATCAAAATCGGTCAGGCCGTTAAGATTAATAAAGAAGATTACCCGGAATAATCAGACACACAAAAAAAAACTGGTTTTGAAATGAAAAAAAACCTATAATTTTGACATTACAAACAGAGACTTCAATTTCATTTATTTGTATAGATATGTGTATATATCTCAGTCACCGTGTATTTTAGAATTAACCTTTCTTTTTAGGCGGAGAATTTATTATTGGATGCAAATATGAACATCAAGATTGCCGATTTTGGATTCAGCAATTATTACGCTACTGGCGAACTCCTGGCGACGTGGTGTGGTTCTCCTCCCTACGCTGCGCCTGAAGTTTTTGAGGGAAAGAGATACACCGGCCCTGAAATTGATATTTGGGTAAGAATTTAGGCAACACAAGATTCAAAATTTATTGTTACCCGTAACTAAACAGATAATATTCATTTGTTCATTCTTTTTCCTGAAGATGGCTTAACTCTCTAGGACCAGGGAATTTAGGGTTACAATTATGCGATCCCGACCTGCTGCTCGAGATACACACTACAACTATCCGTATATGAAATATCTCTGTTTTTATAATAGGTAGGTAGGTTACCTATGAAGTTGGAGATTTTTAAAACCAGCATTTTCAGGTTTGATTATCTGTGGATTGGCGCCTGAATCGAAATTCAAATAAATTTTATTCGAAAGCCATGCTACTTTAATTTAAAATTCAGTCATTTGTTTTAGATAGCGTTTTGTTTTTGTGAAATTGTGGTTGTTTTTGGCGCCATGGATAAACTGAAAACTTGTACAATTTTCGAATATGAGTTTCTACGTGGAAATACCGCTGCGCAAACAACACGAAACATTGCTTGTAAAAATACGGTCTGTTATTGGTTCTATCGTTTCTCTGATCTGGATCTGGAAATTTTAAGTTTCAGAACGAGCCTCACTATAGTCGGCCGGTAACTACTCGTATAGTCGACAACGACAAATTGAAGGCGATAGTGGAAGCGGATCCAACTCAATCTACGGCTGAGCTTGCTGCGGGCTTTGAAGTTAGTGTCAAAACAACATTAAAGCACTTGCGTCAGTGGAGGCCCTGAAGGCCAGCAACGTTGCTTTACTGCGGCGACCGCAGCGAGTGCTGGCTATCAGAGTCATAAGGGGGTACCGCACGATCTCCTTTGAGGTGGCGAGTCTCCTGGCTGGAACTCCACCGTGGGACCTGGAGGCGAGAGCCCTTGCGATTTTGTATCAGTAGCGCAAGGCAGCGCGGAAGTTGGGTTGGTGTATTGAATCTCGAGAAATCGAGGATCAGAAATCCCAGCTCCGCCAGGTCCTCGTGAGGAATGACTTGGGCAACCAAGCGCCGGGCACGCCATTATTGCTGCGGTAAGACGGTAAGCGGGACCCTCTCGTACCGGCTGAGGCAAGTGATCACGAGCAAAGGATGCTTCGTCTGATCCGCTAGGAGCCAACGCCTGAATGTCACCACTGCGATGACCGGAACGTGGACAGCGCGCTCCACACGAATGGGCAGAATGTCCGGCGTGGGTTAAGCAGAGGCGTGTCCTCGTGGCGGCCATCGGAGTGGGAATTCTCTCGCTTAGTAGGGGCGAGAGCGCGTATAACTCCGCCGTCTCCTTCTGCGAGGAAGTTATGATTACGAAAGAGACAGCGGAGCGGGACCGGCAGAGATTTAGGGCCCTCCCAGGAACAGGCCAGGTACCGCAGGAGACTCAGGCGGCAAAACGACCTCCGTCCTCTAAACGCGCAGGCCTGGAGGTGAGGCCATCTGTCACCTTAGCAGGCCGGGTTGGCCGCTGTGGAGCGCGCGCGCCCTTTAGTTTGTATAAGGGGAACACCATGGTTCCCACACACGAGGGGGTCATCTACAAGCCGTAGATGAACCGGGGTCCGTCGGGGTTCCAGGGATTTCCTTCTTAGGGTACACCTGGTTCCCGGTACTGGTACCCGAGACGGCGTGCGGTTTTTGGTCGGTTCATGTCCGCCAAAACCACCGGTGGGTGGTATCCGAAGGGTTTTCGACGAAGAGACATCAAATAAAAAGGGTAAGGTGCCACATAAGTTAAGCGACCATCATCGAGACTACTAAATAGGCATACAAACGAGAGAATTCTGAATCAGATAGTTACCTACGATGAAAAGTTAATCCTGTACGACAACCGTAAGCGTTTGTCTCAGTGGGTGGACCCGGGTACACACCTAATCAGTGCCCTAAAAAAAGATTACCGGTCCGGTGGATCAGTGCCGGACTTGTACATCACAGCTTCTTATCGAATGGCACATTGCTTTTCCACAACATCGCGTGAGCTCACACTTAACGACAGACCATCGCAAAACTACAATAGTTTCATCTGGAAGCTCTCCGTAACCCACCGTACACACCGGACCTCGCCCAAACATATTTTTACTTTTTCAAAATTTAGACAGTTTTTTTGAGTAGGAAAAAATTCAACACCTGGTAGGCAATATAAAACGCTTACGCTGACTTCATCATCTCACGTCCAGAGCAGACTCCTACAGTATAGGTATAAACAAACTGTCATCAAAATGAAAAATTGTATTGATGATTTGGGCCAGTATTTTGATTAGCTAAAATAAAAAAATTAAAATTATTTAAATCTACCACCTTCTTTCGGCAATAACAGGTTTTCCCCTTATTGCGTGAGTGGAACTTATTTAGTCGTCAAAATGTGGGTGCTTAGGGCTCGTGAAACGTGTCAGGGATGTCGCGCAAGTTCGCTACGAAAAACAGTACAGCGTGCGGGCGACTAGCGATAATGAGCGACTACTTGCGACCGCTCGAGGGCAATTCACAATTTAGTTACTTATTTAGGGTTAGTACTGAACAAACTTAATGTTTGGCTTCATAAAGAAGACTACTTAGAGCGGCAATTGATATAGTATCAGAACTTTTATTGCTGGAAAATTCTGTTTTAGATTCGTGCCATCAAAAGGATGAGAAGAAGGAGATAAAATTTGTGTAGTTACGAACTGCATCTATTAAGACTCCTGCATTATTAAAATAAAAAGATAAAAAAGATGCGCAGCGCAGTTACAATCTACCTCTGGCGACTTGTCGCTGCAAGTCTCGCGATCACTGGTCGTCAGTCGCGGGCACGTTGCACTGAGCCGTTTATTTCTATGCGTTCTATCAAGTCCGACCGACCGAAGTCGCGCGACATTGCTTGCACGTTGCACGAGCCCTGATACGACTTTGCCTACCCCTTCGTAGATACGGTGGGAATGGAATTGAAAGCGTCCATTGGCTAAGATAACCGCTTACCACCAGGTGGACCATAAGCTTGCCTATTATAGACGATATAAATAAAGTGATATAAAAATAGAATTAGACCTGAAAAATGCTAATAGCTGTAAAATAATTTCTTTTCGTTCTGAGTGCAACGATGAGTCACAATATTCCTCAAAATAGTTTAGTGGATTATTAGGTACAATATACTCGTAATTAGAATAGCCTTTTAAAATAGTTAACATCTCTCTTTGACTCTTAATTCCATAGATAAGTATAGAGACAAGACGGGGTACAGGCTGCCTGTAAGTGGAAGCGATACAGGCAGCGAGAGAGATAGATGCCCGATATTTCCCTCTGTCTTTGTTTAGCTCTCTGTTGGCTACTTATTAACCCATCATATTCCCCAGCCAACCATACAGCTCGATCAGAAAGAGATAGAGGGGATATATTCGGATATCGCGGGGGACTTTACCAACATACTTGAAACGGGCACAAAGAACACCCAGATTCAGAACAACAATTGGTGGATCACACAAAGTGTTGGTTCATGTGGGGATCGAATCCACAACACTCAGCGTAGGAGGAAGCGGCGAGATGACCGCTCAAACCACTACGCCATCCGTGCAGTCAACCGTGTTTTAAACTTTAGATACATGTTTTGTAGCATACACATTAAGATATGGCATGACCTAGTATGTAATAATTAAATGTGTAACCTCGAAAAAAATGCCTTTAAATAGTTTGAATATACCGAAATTAAAAGCTTGGGTATTTTCGACCCGTGCTTATTTATACTTCAATGATTCCTAATAGCTAATCTAAAGCAGAGACTAATGATACTATATTCTTTACAGAGTCTCGGCGTTGTGTTATACGTTCTCGTGTGTGGGGCTTTACCGTTCGACGGCTCCACTCTGCAGTCATTAAGGGACAGAGTGCTCTCTGGCAGATTTAGGATACCGTATTTTATGAGCGAAGGTAAGAGACATGAACTCATTATGAATCTTTTTTTAACTTATCTTGCATACCTACCATAAAGACATGCACCTTAGAAGATAACACGACATCGAATCTATAACGTGGATAATGCTGTGTTATGAGAAACTGTTGTATAAAATACCTTCACATTATTTTGCTTGACTATTAAGCCTCGACTTTACCACATTGCTTTCTTTATTGAAGAGCGTTCAACGTTAGGAAGATTGCGTCACGGCATTGTCGGACATTCGTACCGAAACTGTAAACTAAATTACCCTTGACGTTCTACAATTTGAATGACGTATGTATTTAGCGTACCCGTTAATCGTTATAATCTACCTAAGCGCTTGTTTACAATATCCTACAACATTTAGAGTTTAGATTTGTCTGCATTAGTCGTATGTCTTTTGCAAGTTTCACTTTTCTTTTAAGGATTGACATACGTAAACGAAAACACATTCGCTCTAAATGGTAAGCTACAATAACACTTTCTTAAGTCCAGTTTGAAAAGTTTCTGAGAGCTATAGAAAGATTAAGTAGGACTGACACGTTTCGACAAACTTTACCAATTGTCTTTATTATTAAGTTTTTTTTTGCAGAATTTCGGTAGTATCAACATCTTAATAGCTTAAACAGATATATACCATATTTTTTCAGTAAGTTAAATATAAATAATAATAGTGTATTACCCATTGTGTATTGTTTCAAGTAATAGTGGTAGGACGTCTATTACGAGTAGTTCACCTAAAATTGAAAAGAAAGAAACCATACTTCAAAATTATTTTGCTAAACGACTTAGTAACCACGTAGCCTCAAAAGTAGGTTTTACTAACTGTTAGCCATAAAGTCAATCCAGCACCCCCTGTCCATGTTATTCATTATAGCTAGGTATTTTTTAGCCTACTTTAACAATCGTTCCTGAGTCAGTAGCAACTTTTTTTACAGAACTGCAGTCTTTTTTATGTATGTACTAATTTACTAGCTTACACCTATTTTATAGCATTGAGATTCCCACACAATAATACAGTATTATGTAACCGCACGCCACGCCTGACTGTCTTTTAGGTGTTACATTTACAAATATTTTACCTGCCTCTTCGCAAGAAATAGGCTACTAAATAATGTAGACGTTATCCATCAAGTGAAATATTTTTCTTTTTTTTCTGTGGCACAGTTTGTTTCTCGCTTTTTCAGTTTTCGCTCGCAGTCGTAAATTATAAAAGCAATAAAAAACCTTCTAAAGTGAGTTTAAGAATGATTCTCCATGTCTCGTTTTGGTTAATTTCAATATAAAATCTGCAACTTAACAACGACTGTTATCATTGCATTCAGAAGTATTCCATAAGAATTAATAATACGATTGCAGTAAGTACACTTATTTTCAGCATATTTCAATGCCTGCTCCTGAGTACTAGCTAGCTTTATAATTTTTACTAGCTGTTTCCCGCATTTTACATTCCCTGTATTGAAAAGCCCCGTATTATCAAATGGTGAAATCAGTATCATTAACAATAAGCCATTGTTAATAAAGCGTTCACATTAGCCTGGAAACTACTGTGGACGATGTGTGGAAGATAAAAAAATAATGAAATCGATAAGCGGCCGAGCATTTGCGTCATCGCCATGTTCAATCATGCATCCCGCAGACGGACCAACATCGACCAATGAATTATAACCGTCCAGTAAAAGTAACAACTCATATATGTGTGGAAATAAGTTCATCTTTTAGGCTCCACATTTGGTGAAAACACAATATTAGCTTTACTTTTTAACATATTTTAAAATGTCGCTAAAATCCATGGCAACATTACCTATAGAAAAGTTATTTTAAATTAATTAAGTTAAAATATGCATTATGTTTATGGTATATCAAAAACATGTTAATTTTATAAATTTTATTGTTTTACTGACCGTTGACAATAACATGGTAATGTAATTTATCTCATCCATCTTTTTCTGCGTAAAATTCCTTACTTGCCGACTTAAAATTTATTATTTACTGGACGAGGTTATTGATTACACATTCAATCTGATACATCATGTAAGTCGATACGCAGATGCAATTGTTCCTATAGATAACGTTATTAAAAGATAAAGAAATAGTGACGTAAATTAGATATAATCGGATAAAGCAACATAAGTACTCGTATTACTAAATAGGTACCTTAATTTTAACTTGTTCGTAAATGTTTATTCAGGCAGCTGAAAAGGTTTCATGTAGAATGGAACGTTATTTTGTAACCTTAGATGCTGTCTAGGTCTAGATGACGAACCAAAGTCACCCTCTAATGTAGGTACTGAAAAGGGCAATGTATTTTAAAGTGTGCGTCCTTTTTGGTTAACTCAATAAACGCCTTGATACTGATGACGGATACGATCCAGAAATAGTAAACGCTGACGTTAGCTAAGGTGCGTCCATACATTTCTCAACTGAAGGTTGACGTAAGAAATGTTAATGACTTTGTATACACGATTTAGATTACAAGATATAACATTCTTGGGAAGCTAACTTGTTATTCTTCATTTAAAAACCTCGTGTAAATTTATATTACTCATGATTAATATATCACAATGTGTATTCTAAGGTACTGGTGTTAAGAAAATCGTGGCGTGAGCAATATTTTATTCAAGATCTCATCAGATAAATGATAATTATATCGGTAAAATTCCTTATAGTTATATATGTTGAATCATTAACTACTGTTAATATACACAAAATATTATTCCATACTTTTGGATTTCAATCAGGTAAAAATAAAAGGTGGTACAAAATGTTAAGTGACGTGGGGTACGAATTAATTAGGACTAAATGGCGTTCTAAATGTGCCGGATTTGTCACATTATGTTCAATTTTGCTGCGATCTTGATGTTATCTCATTTTAACTATCAAACCTTTGGTGATAATTATCAGCTGTAAATTTTGAATCAGTCTAATTTGTGTAGAGATTTCAGATAATTAGTGAAGTGGCAGCCGCCTTCTAGTTCGTTATCGGTAGGTTGACCTCCTTCTCTGCGTCCTTATCCTTACTGCGCATGATGAGGAGGACTTGGCTGCTAAGATTATACTTGTCCGTTCCGACAAATTAACGTATGCCGTATGCCACTAACGAATGGACTATTTCTTTTTCCTATTCTGCTATTCAGTATGACGTTACTTGTAGGATATTAATTATCTTTTATTTCATATTCATATTCAAATTATCATATTTAAAGAAATGGCAAACTATGAATGACAGACTATGGCAAAAAACTTAGCAGAATACTAAACTTGGTAATGTATTTTGATTTAGGTAAAAGTTTATTTATGAATTATTCAGATTCGTGATCGGAAATTCTTGTCAACGAAAATCTGATGATCTTTTTGAATTTGAACATACCCTGATTTATCAGAGAAATATACTAGTACACCAAGATTTAAACTTCAAAATGTGAAACATTTATAGAAAATGTTTGTACATTGCAAAATCCAAACTTTCCAAAAGCATAGTCCTTTATCTCTGTCTAGAAGTCCTTCAAGGGGGATATTTGTGTTATGACCTTTTATGGGTTCTAGTATGGGACCTGGAGGCGAGAAATTCTAGCTTCGCCAGGTCCTCGTGGAGAAGTGGAAGGAACGACTTGGGCAACCAAGCGCCGGGCACGCTGTTATCGCGGCGGTAAGACCGGTTATGGAGGATTGGCTCCAGAAGCATTACGGAACTCTCTCATACCGGCTGACGCAGGTGATCACAGGGAAAGGATGCTTCGGAGATCACCTGTATCTGATCCAATATAAGAAGCCAACGCCTTAGTGCCACCACTGCGATGGCCGGACCATGGACGCCGTGCTCCACACGCTGACTCGGTAACATGATTGCCGCCGAGAGTGCGTGGAACTCCGCGGTCTCCGAGATGGCGGAGCGGAACCGGGAGAGATTCAGAACTCTTCAGGCCCGCGAGGCCCGGGAACGGGACGGAGGTCGCAGAACGACCTCCGTCCTCATTAAGCGCAGGCCTGAGGGTCAGGTGAGGCCATCTGTCACTGTAGCAGAAGCAGGCTGGGTTGGGTAGTGGCTTGACTCGGAACTTCCGGGTTCCCACACAGGAGGGGTCATCTATAAGCCGTAGATGGTCCGAGCTACGTCGGGGTACAGGGCTTTCCTTTCTAGGGTATACCTGGTTCCCCGGCCTGGAGACGACTCGGATACCATCCACTGGTGGTGCGGAAATCCACTCGGATACCACATCCGAGTGGATTTCCGCACAGAAAAAAAGGGGTATATTTTTGCAGGGCTCGTGATGGACCAGTGTGTTACCGGATAATCGAATGTATTCTTAACAAATTACTCTAATTTTTAGTTGGTATAATTCTGAGCGCCGATGAAACATCTATGAAACATATATGATCGAAGTATAAAACATTTGAAAGGCGATCCTTAGCTAATAAGTGGCTTAAGTAGCGTAGTTTTAAAATAATATGTCGGATATTTGTATGTTTAATCATTAATGTTTTAGACTTGCGTCAGTTGACCTACCTATTTGCGTTATTGAAAGTAACTTTGTACTATAATAAAGCAATAAAAGACACTACATTCCGGATAACATAAGCGTGTTCCGTGAGCGTTTGTCACGCGACTAACGTACAATGTTGTTTCACTTTTATAGTTAAAAAAGTAACTGCGTGCTTGTGCATTAGCACTTAAAATACACATTACAGTTTGAGGTGTGTATAATTATTTTTTTCCTCTCTTGCTTAAATTCTTTAACGGTTTCCTTTACGTTGCGAAATTAATCGTCATGTTTTGCAAGTTTTGTGATAGAAAACTTGAACTAGATTGCATTATGATCATAAACATTGAACTGAGGTTAGAGACTGTACCTAGATATTTATAATAAATATCACTAAGAAGCAAATACTAAAGACTGACCCGACTTGATTACTATATTATATAAATACTAGCTGATCCGGCAAACGTTGTATTGCAAAACAAAAAAAAAATAGGGATGGGTCACCCTTACCA